GGGGGGGGAGAGTATCCGTGTGTAAAGGAACGTGGCGGACAAACAGCCGGACAGAAAGACAAACGAAGAGATAGTTACGTGCTGACATTGATGAAATTGATGGAGACAATACTGATTATAGAAAGCACGAACTATCAAGGAAAACAGTAAGCTCTAAACAAAAGGAATGGACACCTTAATGAAGCGCACAACACCTATCTGTGCGGAGAAGTGGTAGGTTGCGTTTGTCATTGCTCACTGTATAGAGCTAGTTTTGACACCCTTTTCAACGCTGCAATGCTATTTAAGAAGCATGGCCTCCTAGTTTAACGTCCATCTCCGACAGGACATGGCCAGAAGAGGGGAGACCCTTAAAATCTCCACAAAACAACCCAAGTTCAGGACGCACCATTGGGATTCAAATCAAGGCCATCCGCTCTGAAGTCCAGCATGATGCTAGCTGAACTAACGGTGCGCTGACGCAGATATAATTTCAGGGAGGACACTTGGGGAAAAAGAATGGGGGTTAACGTGGGGAAATTGGGGGTGGGGGGGGGGGAACTCTTGGTAAAATGTAGAGAATGAGCGTTACAAAGAATAGAGACCCAATGAGATGGGAGCATAGATATCTTAGTTAGTGTTGTTTTAAGGCAGGTGTATTTACACCCCCATCGACACAATCTAGATCATTCAGGAAGCGGGCCTCCAACCCTGCATGTCTGGGCCAACTAGGGCCGAGAAGCTTACAACATCCCGGTAGAGAGACCGAGATATTTTTTTTTAATTCTCCCGTCCCATGAATCGAACCCGGGTCTCCTTAGTGCGACAGCAAAGCGCCTAACTGCAACTTCAAAGACGCTGTTCTCTCAGCCGAGGAGAAGATACGACGCATCAAGACAAAACCAAGGGAAATTATCCATCCAAGACTAGAGCTTTACTAATTGCTAATTTTTTAGGGTTGCTTCCCTTTTGGTTGTTGTTACTCATTCGTATAGCTTCTTGAATTAATGTTTTAAAAGACTTAAAGTGTGCTTGTATTACACAAGGAGCGTCTTTGAAGCTGTTTTTGTGATGTTATTCCGAAAGTACTTTTTTTTGCTTTGTATATCATAACTAGGGCTCTGTTGGACTCTTTTGGGATCTGACCACATCAGGTACATACAAATCCTCACACAAATACAAAGCATGAAATAATACGTAACTTTGTGTGTTTGTGCGTGTGTGTGTGTATGTGTGTGTGTGTGTATGTGTGTGTGTGTGTATGTGTGTGTGCCCGTGTGAGCATGCGTAAGAGACAGCCGTTATAGTCGAAGCG